AACGGATTACACACACACAGCGATCAGTCACTTGGAACGGGACATGTGGATCTCATCGGAAAATCACGTTAATCAAAACCACCACGTGACACTGGGCGGCGGCAGATAGGCCTGGCCTGAGTCGCCGCGCCGAACACTCTCGGATTCACCCTACAGTACTTAGCCTGACTGCGGAAGAGATACTTGTGAGAGCGAATAAACCTTCGAGGTAACATCTATCCAGCCTGGAGCCATAGCCACGCCCCTCCTCGCGCCGTCCGGACACCCGATTGGCTCAGCCGACCCACGGGAGTCTGTTGCGACGGATGACGTCACCGCTCACGCCCCTTCTGGAATCGCCTCGACCAATCAGCACGCCCCCTTTTTCCATAACCCTTCCCTACCTCCCCCCTCACCTCCCCCCCCTCCCACCCGTGACTCAAGCCCCGCCCCCATTCCAGTATGACTCCGGGCCGAGGCATGGAACGGCCGACCGTCGTATTCTCTGCACAAGAAATGGAGCATGCAAAGTGCAGCTAACATTTATGGCAATTATATACACGGGCTCTGTACAATGTGTGTGTGGATATATTGAATTGAGTTCCGTAAACTCCACATACAAGGTACATCCGGGAAAGGAAGGAATGTACTTTGTAACGAGGGGAAAAGAGGGGAGGAGAGAGGAAGAAGGCGGAGGAGGGGAGAGAGGAAGGGGGGGGAAGAAAGGAGAAGAGGGGAAAGAGGAGGGAAGGAAGGAGGAGGAGGAGGAGGAGGAAAAGGTCGAGAGGGGAAAGAGAATAGAGTGGAAGGAGGAGGAGAGGGGAAAATATGACTTACTAGAAGAGGGGAAGGAAGATGCAGGGAAATAGAATAAAGAGCAAGAGAAAGAAGAGAAGAGAAAAAAAAGGAAGAAGGAAACTATACGAATGAGAAGGCAAAGAGATATAGCAGGATAAGAGGGGAAAGGAGAGAAAGAAGAAATGAAAAGAATAGGGAACAGAGAAACTATGAAAAAAAAACATAGGAGAAAAGAAGAGAGAAAAATAAAGAAAAGAAGAGAAGAAAACGAGGGATAAGATACGAAAGAGGAAAGAAAGCGAAGAGGGGAAAGGAGGGGAAAAGGAAGACAGGGCAAGAACAGGAAGATGAGGTGAGGTCGTTCCCAGAGTGTTACGACCTTTGTTTTTTGACTTCACGTGAGATGTGACATGATAAGACGTGACAGGTGAAGCGATGTCATGAATAAAAAAAAATAAATAAATAATACGCCCCCATCACTCTCCTCCCCCCTCTCTCCCCTCTCCCTTCCCTTCTCTCTCTCTCCTCCTCTCTCCTTCTCTTCCCCTTCTCTCTTTCTCTCTCCTTCTCTCCCTTCTCTCTTCTCTCCCCCTCCTTCTTCTCTCCCCCTCCCCCCTTCTCTTCCCTTTATCTCCCCTCCCACTTCTCTCCCCCTCCCCCTTCAATCCCCCTCCCCTCCTCTTCTCCCCTCCCCCTTCTCTCCTCCTTCTTCCCTCCCCTTCTCCTCTCCCCTCCCCCCCCCTTCCATCCCTTTCTCCCTCCCCTTTCTCTCCCCCTCCCCTCCCCCTCCCCCTTTTCTCCCCTCCCCTCCTCCTCCCCCTCCCCCTTTCAAACACCGCCTCTGAAGGCATATATTTAATGTCTTCTCAACACGCAAAAAATATATATGTATATTAAAGACAAGATAGAAAATAAAAATATAAAGCAATATTTTTCTTCTTTCTTTTCTTCTTCTTCTTCTATCTTATTTTCCTAACAGTAATCTTTTGTTTTATTTACTTTGCCTTTGTTCTATTTTCTATATTATTTTTTTCTCCCCCTTTTATCATTATTGTTTTTATTAATATTATTATTATCATTGTTATCATTATTATTATTATTATCATCATTATCCTTATTTTTATTTTGTCTAATTTATATATATATATATATATATATATATATATATATATATATATATATACATACATATAACCCACCAGTCGTGATCTTTATCCGACGAAATCATTCATTAATATGATAATAATGACGTTATAGTAATTAATATGATAAGTCATTAGTATGATGATAATGACGTAACGCTATGCGCATGTCAGAGATTAAAGAAGATTATTTATATATATCAGACGTGTTACTATTAAAGAGTCATTTATGCCTTTTTTTTCTTTTCTTTTCTTTTTCTGTCTTTTTTTTTTTTTTTTTTTTTTTTTTTATTATCGATGAATACTAATTAACTTGTCAGAGATCACTGCATTTGATCCCCTCCCCCCCCCTCCGAGTCGCCCCTATCTTTCTCTCTTTCTTACTCTCTCTCTCTCTCTCTCTCTCTCTTCTCTCTCTCTTCTCTCTCTCTCTCTCTCTCTCTCTCTCTCTCTCTCTCTCTCTCTCTCTCTCCCTCTCTCTCTCTCTCTTTCTCTCTCTTTCTCTCTCTCTTACTCTTTTTCACTCTTTCTCTCTCTATCTATCTATCTATTTATCTGTCTGTCTATCTATCTATCTTTCTTTCTTTCTTATTCTCTCTCTCGCTCTCTCTCTCTCTCTCTCTCTCTCTCTCTCTCTCTCTCTCTCTCTCTCTCTCTCTCTCTCTCTCTCTCTCTCTCCTCTCTCTCTCTCTCTTTCTTCCCCTTAGTTTTTCCTTTCCTTATGCTTTTCCCTTTCCCTTTTCCCCTCTCCCTCTCCACTTATTTTCTTTCCCTCATCCCTATGCCCTCCTTCTCTCCATCTATGCTTTTTTGTTTTCTTCCTCCCTCCTTATCCTCTCTCCCTTTTTCTTCCAATTCTTATTCCCTTTCACTTTTTCCCTTCTCTTTCTCTCCCTTTCTCTTTTTTTCGTCTCGATTCGTCAACTTCCTTCTTCGTTCTCCTCTTCTGTCTCCTATTTCTCATCTCCTATCTCCTTCTTTCTACCTTTCCTCTTCTTCCTTTTTCCCCTTCTTCTCCATTTCTCCCATTTCCTCCTTTCGTTTCCCTTCCCCTTCCCCACTTTCTCCCTTTCTCTCATCACCCAGCTTTTGTTTTCCCCTTTATCTCCTTCCCTTTCCCTTCCCTTCCCCTTTCTCTTTCCCCTCCCTTCATCTCCATTTCCATTTCTTCTTCCCCTTTCTCTCCCTCACCCCCCTTCCTCTCCCCCCCTTTCCCCTTCCTCTCTCTCTTCCTTCCATCCTTCTCCCTCTCTCTTCTCCCCTCCCCCCTTCCCCCCTCCGTCCTCCCCCCCTCCCACTTCCCCTTCCCCTCTCTCCTCTAACCTCTCTTCCCCCCTCCCTTTCCCCTCCCTCTTCTCCCCTCCCCCCTTCCGTGCCCCCCCCCCCTCCCCCTTGTCGTCTTGTTATCTGGAATATTTTTTTCATGTACGGAAATAGACGTACACAGAGACACGCACATGTACATACGCGTCGACCTAAGCATGCGTAAATCTTTAATCATACAGACACATAATTGTATGCCCATGTCCGGGTACGCACACACGAAAACACACATACACACATGTACACACATTCACAGACATATACATGCGCACATGCACACACACACACAAACCCACACAAACACTCATACACACACTTACGCATTCAAGCATACACACCTGTACACACACACACACACACACACACATACACCCCATTTCTTCTTTCGTCTTCTCTTTCTCTTTTCCCTCCTCTTCTTCCTTCTTTGTCTGTTTTTTCTCCGTTCTCTTTCTCCTTTCCCTTCCAGCTTTCTTCTTTTCCTCTCTGTCTATTCTTTCTCTTTCTTCTTTTCCTCTCTGTCTATTCTTTCTCTTTCTTCTTTTCCTCTCTGTCTATTCTTTCTCTTTCTTCTTTTCCTCTTTGTCTATTCTTTCTCTTTCTTCTACTTCACCTTTTATTTATCTTTGTGTTTCTCTCTCTCCCCTCTCTTCTTCTTCCTCGATTTTCTTCTTATTCTATCTCTTTCTTTCTCTCTTTCTCTTGTTCCCATTCTTCTTCTTCCATCTTTTTCTTCTAGCTCCTCCTTCCTTCCTTTTCTATTTCCTTCTCCTCCTTCTTCTCTTCTTCTTCTGTTTCCTCTTCTTCTTCTCCTCCTTCTTCTCTCCTTCTTCTGTTTCTTCTTCTTCTTCTTCTTCTTCTTCCATTTTCTTCCTCTCCTATCTCCTCCTCCTTCTTTTTCTACCTCCTCTTCTTCCTCTTTATCTTCTTTTTCTCCTCTTCTTCTATTGTTCAAATTCTCCTTCTTCCATCTTCTTTCCCTTCTACCTCCTCCTCCTTGCTTTTTTTTACCTCTTCCTCTTCCTCTTTCTCTTCTTCTTCTTCTTCTTCCTCTTCTTCCAACTTCTTCCTCCTCCTCCTCTTCTTCTTTTTCTTCTTCTTTTTCTTCTTCATCATCATCTTCTTCTTCTTCTTTCTCAAATATCCCATTCCTCTCGCTCTCCCCTCTTCCCTACCCCCTACCCCCCCTCTAAGTGCCCTCTCGCTTGCAATTTACAAATTTCATTGACAAAAGACCCCCCCCCCCTCTCTCTACTCCCTCTCTTCCCCCCTGTTCATTCATATACTCATTCATACGTACAAACGCACATGCACACATACACACTTACACACACACTTACACACACACATATACACACTTACACACACACACACACACACACACACACACACACATATACACACACGCGTGAGCGCGCATACACATACACACACACTTACAAACATACTTACACACACATTTACACATATAGTTACACACAGACACACACTTACACACACACATACACTTACGCACACACACACACACACACACACACACACACACACACACACACACACACACACACACACACACACACACACACACACATACCTGTAATTATGCCCCCCCCTCTTCCCCTTCAAATTCGACAGGTGTTTCTCAGTTGCTTTGTCGATAGAGAAAGAGAGGGAGAGGGAGGGAAGGAGAGGGAGAGGGAGAGAGAGAGAGGGGGGGGCGGAGGGATTGAAAGAGGGAGGGAGGGAGGGAGGGAGAGAGAG